TCCGGACACAACGAGAGGAACCACAAAAGAAAAGAAAAAAAGATTAATGGCAGGCTGTGGGGTGGAAGGGATAGATAAAATGACTTGATTAGAGGCGTGGGAAAACAGCCAGGTCTTCAGTGGTGTCCTAAAACCCAGAAGGGATGGGGCCAGTGGCACCTCTGGTGGCAGGGAGTTCCAAAGGAAAGCGGCCATCACAGAAAAGGCCTGGTTTTGAGGGTCCAATTTCCAAGGGAGAGGTGCTCAGCCAGGTAACAGGGTCCTAAACCCTTAAGGGCTTTATAAAAGTTAACAGAAGCACCTTGAACGTGGCCCGGAAGCAAACAGGCGGCCGAGGCAGACAGGCCAGGGTAAGGGTGATACCTACCTCAATTTGGGCCCAAATGGCGGTGTTCTGCAGGATTTGGGGAGGGCTAGGAAGTTCTGCCCCCCCCCCGAAATTTTTTTAGGTCAACAAATCCCCCCTCCCTTCCTCCCAGCTGATCAGCAGTTGCGACAGATGTTGCCGGAACATCTGGATGCAGCTCACTCCCATATTCCCCCAGCTGTTTTGGGCAGAATTATGGGAGTTGTAGTCCGAAGCGTTCGGCGGTTGATTCATTGCTGGTATCAGCAACCAGTATTTATTGGGGTGTGTATATGTGTTTAGGATGAATAGGTTGTTTTCTTGCACATTTTAAAGGTTAAATGTGCATTTTAAAAGTTAAATGTTGGTCATTATGCAGCATTTATTTTGGGCCTATGCAGAATTTTGTGTGTGCCCAGAAGAGTCAGATTTTGCTCTCTCAGGTGTGGCAAACCAGGTGACTCCCCCCCCTTTTTAGGCTGGCCATCTGACCAAGGCAGCAAAGGGTCCCCCCCATGGGTGCCCATGGGGTCGGGTCACCTGTCTACCCAAATCTTAGATTTATTTATTTTTAATGCACGCTGACAGACCAAAAAAATTCAGAAGAAGATTACTTTGCCCTTTTATTTTTAAGATTATGGGAAAGGCTTTAATCGTGTGGGTCCTGAAAAGCTATGGGTTGTTCTGAAAGAAATTAATGTACCTTGAACATTTGATTGGTCTGGTCAAGAAGCTGCGGTTGGAACAGAAGATGGAGAAACAGAACGGGTTTCCCGTAGGCNNNNGGGGGGGGGGGGGGGATGGCTTTGATCGCCAGATCTGCTCGGTCTGTATGCAGAACTTACCTAGATTCAGATAAAATACTAGATTCGGATAAAGATGGCATGAAACGGGTGGGAGAAACATCAGTAATTTAAGATAAGGCGATGGCACCATTTTACTGGCGGAAAGCGTCAACGGCTTGATGGAAGTGAAAGAAAAAATGCAGAAGCAGGACTGTAGTTGAATATTACAGAGAAATCATGTCTACAGAAGAACTGTATCCCATTGAATATTGACAGCGAAGACGCTGAAATTGTTAAAAGATTTTGTATGTCTTGCCTCAGTCGTCAGTGCAAATGGAGACAGAAGCCAAGAAACAGGAAAACTTTTAAAGGTAGTTACTGGGAAAATTAGGGAAGAACTAGTAAAGATCGTCAAGTTTAAGGATGTTCTTGGGTGGACCTTATTTTATTCCCACTTCCTATTTACAGATGTGAAAACTTGCTGGAAATAAATGGATTCATTTGAAATGTGACGCTGGAGGAGAATTTTATGGATGCTCTGGACCATTAGAGAGATCAAAGGAACACATCTTTTTTAAAAAGCAAAAATGACTAAACTAAGGTCGTGCTTTGGGTCCATCGCGAGGCGACAAGACCCATTAGAAAAGACACGGGGCTGAGAAATGTTGAAGGCAACAGGAAATGAGGACAGCCCAATGTGAGATGGATTGGCTTAATACTGGAAGCCATAGCTTTGAGTTTGCAAGAGGGTGAGATGTTTTGGAAGCCCCTGATCCGTAAGGTCCCCGTAAGTTGGAAGGAGAAATGTGAATAGGGACTTGTGGAAGGCACGTTTTTCACGTGGCTTCCCTCGTGACCTCCCGTGCGTGCAAAAGCTGGCTGGGTCGGTCGTGGCGGCTTCCTTTAACCGCGGCCAGGAAACGGGTCGATCAGCTTCATTGATTAGAATCCTGGCCCTGATTAGGAATGCTGCACTGCTGCCAAAATGGGTGGGTTGGTTTTCCTGCCTCGTTTCGGGGCTTTGTCATAACGGCTTTCTCTTTTACAGAAATTAAACAGAGGATAACCCCTTCGGCTCGTTCCAGCGAGCATTAAAAGACGGAGCGGTAGGGCCAGTTTAAAAAAAAAAGTTGAGAATGAGATGATCTGCGTTTGTTTTGCTAATATATATATATATTTAAATCTGGTAGTACGGTTGATGGTCAGAGCCAGCTCTGCCGGTGGACGGAGGGAAAAAGTAGCTTCACACAGCAGCATGGAACTGCCGTGAATAGCAGCAGATGGTCAGTTAATTTATGTATTGTCATGGCATTGCAGTAGCAAAGCATTTCGAAATACTCTTTAATTGAATTTACCAAAATTACTCGCCTGGCTTCGGGCGCCATGGATCTGGAATTGGGAGCGCTGTGGAGCGCTGTTTCCTTCCCTCTGTCACGTCGCAAAAAAGCCCTGTTGGCACGAGGTAGGGGAGGCTCGAAAGAGACCAAGCTGTCCTGAACGCCGTGGCTCTTAGGATTCCAGAATCCTGAGCGTCTTGGTGAAATTGACAGCGGGCTGATCGAAGAACAGGCTCATCCGACATGGAGTTGTCTTGCGGAACTCCCTGTTACAAGACAGGAACGCAGCCGCAAGCTCAAAAGCGACTAAGGTAGAAAGCCCCTTTGAAAAGGCAGGCTGAGAGGCCCTGATCCCCACCCCTGCGTGGAGAGCCCGCAGAACTTCTGCCTGGAAGACAGAGCTGGAAACCTAGAAAATTTGGTTGGAAAGGACCACGGAGGTCATCAAGTCCACCCCCCTCCGGCCTTCATTCTCTTCACCCAGGGCAGACCTTGATGTATTTCAGAATTATGGGTGGATGAAGATTCAGGCCAGCGTTTCCAAGCCCTCTCCCCCACCCCCTGCCCAATTTTTAACTGAAGAAATTGATTTAACACTCGTGAGTCTTCCCTTCAACCTGACGGGACGTGTATCCTGCCCGGATTTACCTGTGAACCGTATCCACCTGTGTTGGGTGGGGTGGATACGACCGGCTAAATCATGCTGGTTTTGAGCAGTCCCTCGGTGAAGAACATAATCAAATACAGTGGTGCCTCGCTAGACGATGATAATCCATTCCACGGAAATCGCTGTTTAGCGAAATCATCGTCTAGCGAAAAGCATTTCCTCATTGGAATGCACTGAAACCTGTTTAATGCGTTCCAATGGGGAAGAATCGTCGTTGTCTAGCGAAGATGGGCCATAGGAAAGCCGCTTTGCGAACCGCCAATCAGCTGTTTAAATCGCTGTCTTGATAAAGTATGGAGGAACCGAGCTTCATATGAACTTATCAGGGAGATGATGAGATATACTGTACGGGTAACAGATAAATAAGAATTTTTCTCTTCCCCCCAGCTTTCCGTGGCTTGGGAAAAAACACGAAACGTAGACCCTTTTGTGCTTCTAGCTGTGACACCGATTAGTAACTCGCTTTCCGTTGAACCCCAAATGGAAGAAATCTCCAACCTAGATGCCAGGTCTTGCTAAAAATAGTTGGTACATTTTTATTGGGGGAGTCGGGGTACATGAGTTTATAGCGATTAAAACAAAAATACAAAACCACATCCCAGCTAGGTTTACACTGAAGGTATAGATCAGTTTTCATACATGTTAAGAGCGGCTTTGAAAGGGGTCTCCTCAGGTGTCAGCCCCTCCTAGGTAGTGTCTCGGCTTGGCCCGCAGATGGCAGCAGACACTTTTCGTAGCTTGCAAGGTGTTTAGAAAAACAGTGTTTCCTGCTAATTTCTGGAGATCAAGCGGTTACGAAACACACCCGAGAGGGAGAAAAGGCAAAAGGCTAGCTCTTTGTGAATTTCTCTTTATAATAGTCATCTCAAGCTTTAAAGAAAGGAAGGAAGAAAAAAGCAACTTGGAACTAGTGTAGAGCAGGAGTTGGGGACATGTGTGACTCTCTGTAGCTTGTTAGACTCCAACTCCCATCAGCCCCAGACAGCGTGGGGATGACTGGTATGGGAAAAAAAATACTTGGAAACCCTATGGTGGGGGCAGTGAACGTATAGCGGTCGTGAGGAATCTGTGGCACTCCAGGGTGTTGTTAGACGCTTGTTTCCCACTAGCCCCAGGTACCACGGAAAAGATGGGAGTTGTAGTCAAACTATTCAGAGAGGCACTTGTTCCCCCCAGCTGCAGGCGAAGGCTTACGAACAAGGGCGTTGGGTTGTTTGGGGGAAGCGATCGCTGCCAAACCTGGTTGAACTCGTCCGGACACATGCTTTTTTGGGGGGTGTGGGTGCGAATGCTGTCCCACAGCAGGTTGGAAAAGAAAGAGGTTATGCTTCACTCTGTGAATGTCCTTTTGCGGGGGGGGGGAAGCTTTTAAAATTTTAATTTTTTTGTCTTCATGGCTTTGGAGGTCCTGGTGGTGATGGGTCCTCGGGCGGCCCTTTCTGGCGGGTCTCCCTCTGTCGACGCCGGGTGGGGTGGGAATGAAGGAAGAGCCTCACGGCGGGCAGTGGCAGCCGCTCGCCAAACGGACCGGCCGGACCTCCAGCGAGCCGTCCTCTTTCAGGAGCACGAACACGAGCGGAGCCCGGAGGGCCCGACAGCAGCGTCTCTGGCAGGAGAAAAAGATGTCAGGGGGTGAGGATCTGGGGGGTGGTAAGAGTCGGAAATGTTGGACACGGGGAGACCTGTATTCGAATCTCCCATCACACCTAAAAGGTATTGGGTTCTCTTTGGGTAAGCAATCACAGTCTCTCCACTTGAACCACCTCGCAGGGTTGTTGTAAAGGAGAGAGAGAAGAGGAGAAAGAAGAAGAAGACCACGTAAGCTTTCTTGAGCATACGAGGTAGGAGATCAATGGAGCGGATAATAAATCCAGGATTGCAAAAAAGCACCACGGCCGCCTCGTAAAATGGAAATTTTGAGGGAGATCTGCTCACTCTCCTACCTGCTTTGTGTCTGGATCCGGCTGGTTTTCCAGGCCCCCAAGCCGGCATTCTTGAACCCAACGCGGAGGCCCCTCTTCCTTTCTCCGGCAGGGGCACCTCAAGCATTCTGCGAAGACGAAGCCCCTCGGACGGAGCACCCAGTGTTGCCAGCCAAGATCTGGGACAGGGAGAGGAAAAGGAGGTGAGCGGTGAGCCCAAGAGCAAGGCGCTTTAAGGCTGGTTCGGTCCAGGAGCGGTGCCGGAGCGCTCTGCAAAGTGATCCCCCCCAAATCACTGATTTTTCTTGCTAAAAGGCTTTGGAAGGTCATCTCCCGACTGCTCGCCAAAGTGTCTTTTAAATGTAACTGGTTGCATTGCATGTCAACGCTACTCAATGATTTCCTATTATTTTTACTTTTAAAAATAGAGAGGTTTTGTGTTTTTGGTGGCTCCAGTGCAATTTTTAAAAAATGCATTCGGAAGCTATGGGGAAATAGTATTTATTGCGCCGCTAAAGTAATTTATTCCTATTCACTGTTACTAGATTTTTTAAAAAGACCTCCTTTACCCCACTGCCAGGAGGCAGGTCCTGTTACCGGCTTGGCTCATGTCGGTTTCGTGAAGCCTGTCAGTCAACGTCTGTGTGTGTGTGGGGGGGTGGCTGTCGGGCAGGGCACCAAAATTTAGAAGCTGCTGCAAGGTTGCAAACCTATCTGGGGTGATTTGCTGTTGGAAGGGCAGAAATGCATGCTCAAAACGGTGCGCAATGCACAAACGGCGCATCCTCCAGCCTCTTCTCCCGGGGCGGAGGGGGAACGCACAACTGGCAGGTTCCGAGTGGTAACAACGGCCCAAATCTGGTGGCCGAGGGTGTGACGTAAACAGCGCAACCCTTGGAAGAGATGTGCCATAAATTAAGACATAGAATTGGTTGACCGTCTTGCAGCTCAGATTTCTTAACTGGAGGCCACTGGCCTCCCGAAGTGACCCCTTTTGCATAGCTTCCCCAGAGGATTTGAGCACCCCGGGACCTTTTAACAGTTTCGTCTTTTTTTTCCTACACTTTCCCACGTGGCCGATCTTGTCGTGACCCTGATTGACCCGAGAAGGCGACGAAGCCCTTGGAGCCGAAATCGCTAGTCATGGCTCTGTGCCCAGTTGAGCCAATTGGACACACAAGGCTGTTTTGCACTCGGGACCGAAGGGCTTTTACCTGCCAGGGTGACGTGGTGTGACGCTTGAACGCAGCGCCCTCTTTGAGTCAGCAGCGTCTGATTGGCGGGGACGTCTCCTGGAAGGAAAGGCAAAGAAAATATCTTAAAGGCCTCGTGAGTCACGTCATTAAAGTATGGCTTGCTGAATCAATGCTGGTCATTTTCCTCATTTTACAGGTTGAAAGGCAGTGGTTCCCCAAGTCACATGGTAAATCTTGGGCACAGGTGGGATTCAAACCCGCCTCTCCTGGATTGAAAGCAAAGGCACCACAAAGGCCTCAGACGAAGAGTGTTCAGGTTTGGACTACAACGCCCAGAATCCCCCAAGCAGCAGTGTTTCTAAAACCACACCTCTGCCCCAGACGGATCTTTGTGTTTCTATCCGCCGGAGCTCAAGGGATGAAGAAAGAGACTTTCTGACTCATGAAGTAACAGGTGGTGGTTGCTTAATCGTGAAGAAAGCACTCTGTGCATGCTCAAGAGAAACATCACCACGCTACACTGACCAGGAAGGAGCCTTGTTAATGGGGCTTGAGTTGGGAGCTGAGTTTAGGACAGGTTGAAGGGAATGGAGAGAGGATGATGAGGACCCTCACCGAGGCGCTGGCCGTCTGAGATCAACGACGGGAGCGTTGCCACCTCTTTCGCCCAGGCTTCGCGCACCCGGCTAGTGCCGTCCGCGGTGAATCTGGGAGGGTGGTCCAACCTGAGCAGAGCGAGGACGGCCGCCCCTACGTGCCGAAGGACCGCTTCCCTGCAGCTGCCGAGAGAAGCCAAGAAAAGCAAAGTCAGCCACAGGTTTGAAATAGGACGCTACATCATCTGGCTTTGCTGCTGTGTATATTTTCTGGACCAAAACGGGCCCAGAGACGTGGATTTCCGGACCTCTGAAAGCACCCTGGAAAAGGAGGTTGACCGTATAACCAACGGGGTCAGCTGCTTGTGCTAAATTTCACTTTTGGAGGCAATAATTAAATGCATGAGAGTCTTGCCCCTCCTTGAGGTTCATTTATGACTCGGTCTGTTGCATTTATAGGCTTTCCTTTGATAAACTCAATGTGAGGTTCGTGGCATGCCTCTGCCCGCTTTATTCTTACAACCCTGTGGCGAGGGAGGGCAGACAGAAAAAAAGTAACGGGCCTGGTTCAAGACTGTCCGGTGAGTTTCGTGGCTCAGGTTAGCCTTAGAACCACGTCTGCCACGTTCTTCTTCAACAAAACAATATAGCCATCGCCCCATCCCGCCCTCTGCTGTGATCAACAGCCATCGGATCAGCCAAAAATACCATTTTTTCACAACCAAGGCATGCCTTAGGAGTGGCTGCTTAAAAGCACAAGAGTTGTAAAATTAGCAATCTTGTTTGCATCTGGCTGTTTCGGTGAACAAGATCCTAAATGGGGGGGAAGCAGAAATGCCCCCCAAAATACCTTGATTCTTTCTGCTCTTTAGCAAATTTCCTCTGAATAAAGTCTATACTCAAAAGCTTTCCCTAACTTGGAAGCCCTCAAATAGGTTAGTTGGCTGGGGACGATGGGAGTTGTCATCTGGAGGGGGGCACTAAGTCGATGAAACTATTATCTTCATCTCAAATGAGTGGGCTTTTCGATGTTGCAACCCCCCCCCCCAAAAAAACGGCTGTGTGTCTGCCCAAATTAAGCATCCACCACCCTCGGGACAGAACACGATGTAAAAAAATAGCGACGAATAAATGCAAGAGGCTGTGCACTTAATTTAGGCACACAGTCGTTCCCAGGACTGATTTTAATCCTGCAAAACAATACAATACAGAGAGAGAGAGACATAACAAAATGCATTTCCTTTATTGTTGTTATTTTTCCTGCCCGGGCACCTGGGCCATTATCAGCATCGTGATGCTCAGACATTCGACACCAAATCAAAGGAAGGAAAAGGGGGGGGGGGAGATAATGTTGTTTGTTCCGTAGGAGTAAAACAAACTCCAAAATCCACAGGTGGGCAACGTGTTTGGATAAACTGCCCATTTGTGAAACTTCCTGATTTTTATGCATTTGCAGATGCCATGCAACCAGAAGATTGCCCGCTTGTGGATTTTGGGCATTAAGATTTTTGTTTTAGACATCCCACGGGTAAATCTGTGCCTGGCAGAATTCTGCCCTCTTAAAGACAACCGACCAGATTGGAAACATCCGTCCGAGTAGACCCAACTTCCACCGCTGTTCTTTTTTTAAAAATAAAACCGGATCAGTTCAGGTAAAGGATTGGAACAACGGTTGCGTTTGTTTTGGACAGATTCGGCCAGATTTCCTGCATTCTTCGTAGTATTTGGAGATGAAAAAGAAGTCGGGTGTCAAGCATTCAAAACAAGGAGGAGGGGGGGGGAAACAACAACAAACAGATGTTGCGTCTTACATTGAGCATCAGGCTTGGATTCATTGTTCAAGTGAAATAACCCCCCAAAAAAGCATGCCAGGCCTGTCACTAAATTATCCCTTCAACAGAGAAAAGAGACACTCATTTATTGCCTTTTCTCCACCTCTCAGCACTGACCTTTGGGAACCCCTGCTTGACATCATGTTTTTAAAAAAACATGGGAAAGCACATCTGTGCCTATTCAAGGCACTGCCCATCTCTGTCTGTCCTAAAGGAAAACTAAGCTGGATTGTTTCCCCCTCTTCCCTACAGAAACCAGGATCGGCCAGATCAGAAGAGGACTCTTCCTCGAGATAGTGGCTCTCCACTTCCGACCGACACGCAGCTCTGTCCCCAACAGAGCGGGAGCAAGCCCTCTCTTCCAACCCTGTTAGAAAAGTTACTCTTGGAGACTAAGACCCCCATCCTCCCCGAGGCAGCGTGGCTGAAGAGCATGGCAGGACGGTTGGCTCAAAAAGAGTTCTGTGGCGCAGGTAGATGTTCTTCACTGCCCCTTGTCCTGATTTCTCACGGGGAAAACCCACACGGAGCAGCCTGGTTTTTTCCCCTGCCTCCACATGTGCTTACTTAAGGACTTAAATCAGGAATTAATGCTTGAGTCTAACCACTACACTGCACTGTCCCTCAGTGGGTTGCAACCTGGATGGGATCCGGGCCTCTCCTTACCTGTCATTGAGAGGAACCCCCGTCCTTTCCAGCGGTGGCTCCTCGTGAAGAAGGCTCGTCTCCTTGGATGTGCAGGTCACCCCGGCCAGCATCCCGCTCACGAGCAGAAAACCCAGCATGACGACGGAGAAGGGATGCTGTGGATTTCGTGGCTGGAATGGGCCACCGAAGGCGTTTGAAACCTGTGGGCGAAAGGCGGCGGGAATCGCCGGACAGTCCTGCCCTGTCCAGAGACGCGGGAGATGGATGTGTGGGAACCTGTTTTTATCTGCCTCTCCCCGAGCCTTGCGGTGACCTTGGCATTTTTTACAGGCACACTTTCGTCTTCCCCCAACCGAAGGGGCTGGAAATGCACTAACAGAAATGCCAGTTTTTTTTACGCCCAACAACATGGATAGACCCAATACACAGCATCCGCCCACCCAACGGGCCCTCCCTTTACCTGGAGAAAAAAATATATATATCAGAATTTAAATCTGAGCCATTGTTCAACATCAGAAGGATATGCTTTAAGAAAGAGAGGGGGATGTGGAGGGCTGGATTGAGTTAGGCTTGGACTGGAGTGATTCCACATTCACACACCCCGAGAAATCAAAAACACTCAACCGTGGGCTCCCTGCCTCTTCTCAAACTGACCTACCTCGCAAGGCAGGCCTCACCCAAAGCATGTGACATGCCTGGGGCTGAGCGGGAAATGCAGAGCTTGGGGGACCCGAGTATGTACTCCTTGAGGGGTGATCTCAGTTTGCCATTAAATTCCTTCCCCTTAAAACTAACCTTCCTTCCTCCATTCCCCCCATCCCACCTCTCAAACCAACGCTCAGCGGCTGGAATTCGGTTACGCCGTTCCGGCTGTGCGTTGGGCATCGTGCCATCAATCTTTTGCTGATTAGAGGCGTCCTTTGGCCATTTTGGGGTGCCCAGAGTTTGTCAAGCCACATGCACCCTGAAATGGCCAAAGGAAACCCCGAATCCTTGGTCATTCGCCATGGCTAACAACATCATTCCCATGATGTTGGGAATGATGATCATTCCCGCAGGGGCATTTTGGCATCTGGCAACTTCAGGTGTGCAACACCCAAAGTCTGGCAAATTATTTTGGGACGTGAGAAGGAAAGTCCCACCAACACCATTCTTGGCAATGAAATAACAAATTGACTTTTTGCATCTTTTTCACTATATCCAAAATCACCCTCATGAAGCCAAGGGCTCCTTTAAGGTTCAATTATTTCCATGTGAGTTTTTCTGAACACAACCCATGTCTTCAGATGCATGTCCTGTTTTGTTTTTCAGCCTACGGTACTGAAAGGATATACTGCTCCTGAAGAAGGAGGCTCGACTTTTTGTGGGATTCCCAGTGCCTTGTAGTGGATAGAGTGACAGAACGAGGCTCTGAAGAAGAGGGTTCAAATTCCCACTTGGTCATGCAAACTCCCTGGAGGAGTCAAACCACTCCTTAAATATCTCCCTTACCTTGAAAACCCTTATATTAAGGTCACTTTAAGTCGGGTCCAACTTGACAGCGTGAAATGCACACACTTATGGTGGCTTGATAGCGAGAGCAGTCTACAGCCTCCGTTTCACCTACAAAAGCCGCCTTTTTGACTCGCAGTCATTAAGTCGGCGACTTGAGGTTTGTGGGGGCCACGGAATCCATTCCGGGTTTTAATACGAAGTTGAAACGGGCTCTCTAAAGTGCTCGGTCTCAGTCCCTCAAACAGGACCAGCATCTTGGCTCGCCCCTTCAACACTCAGGCAGACACCGGGATGGATTTGTTCTCTCTGTGAATCTGGAGTCGGCGGGCACCCCTGCAGGCCGTTGGCATCTCTCTACTCCCCCCTCTGAAGGGAACAGGGGAGTTGGCAGGATTTGTGATCCTGGCCAAGCTTACCCCGGAAAAAACAGCTTTTTTTTCCGACAGCAAAAGGGCTTTTAGGGATTTCTAGGCCTCCAATTCCAGACTGCAAGCCCTGAAACCTTCCACGTGACTTTATCTGTTGACCCAGGCATTTTTCGAAGTACAAATGATCAGATTTTAAGATGAGGTGTTCAAAAGGGACGGTTCCGTTTTCTTTTAAAAGAGACACAACTTTCCATTTTTAAGCAGTCATTTCATTGCCTTTGTTTACAGCGGCTGTCAACCACCTTGGGGTTTATTATTTACTACTGAATGTATTTTTCAGTGTATAAGACGCCCCCACGTACAAGACTTTTCTAATCCAAAATTAAGAAATCTAAGTGGGGCTTAGCAAGTGGAGAGGAAAGCAGGGATCAAATTGTTTATTCAGAAGCATCACCTGTAGATCTTATCAACACAAGCCGTGCAATCTAGACTTCAAAACTAGACGGCAACTTTATTTCTCCTCATTTATGGCTTGCTTTCGTGATGCCGGCTTCTCTGTCGCCATGCCCGTTGGCTGGATGCCAGAATGGCGGGTTCGAGAGATGCCTTTGGCCACATTTCGCCCCAAAAGGGGGTTTTCAGAAATAAATAAGTAGAAAAACCAACCTGGAAAAGAAACACTGTCTCCTTTCCATTGACGGTCTTTCTTTTTCCCCCCCTCCTTAGGCTAGACGGTCATAAAGAACAGAATGCCTGTTGTCTCTGATCTGTAAATAGCCCCACACATTAAATAGGAGGGGTGGGTGTTAAGA